AAAATTTTAAAAAAATTTTATTTAAGCTATTTTCCCAAGAATTTCAAAAAATCTAATAAAATACCACAGTATTGTCTTTGTACTGTGCGAGAGCCAGTGATCTCCTTAGGATCATACAGGGTGTCCAAAAATATGATATCATGAAAAACACCCGCCACAAACACATTCCTTGAAGTATTTGTTTGATATATGCCTCAAAGAAATATTTGAATAAGTACAATTCAGCAGCAAATATGAAAAAAAAAATCTTCACCTATTGAATTGCATAGAAAAATTTAAATTAAATCAAACTTTTCAAAAAAAAAAAGAAACTTAAAAAAAGCGGATTACCAAAAGATTAGCTACCCTCTATTTAATTAAAGATGAAATTATCAATTCTAATTTTTGTTACGTAGCTAAACGAGTTTAGGAATTCTGTGCAATGTGTAAACATAATCGCTACCCTATTGGTACAAGCGTATTAGTGCCACGAATATTTTTTTAAGTTGGTAATTCAAACTTTAAAGTTGGAAATTCCAACTTTAATCTTGATAATTCCAACTTTAAAGTTGATAATTACATCTTTAAAGTTGATAATTCCAACTTTAATCTTGGCTTTTCCAACTTTTTTGGGAAAATCCAATTTAATCTTGGTTTTTCCCAACTTTAAATTTGGGAAATTCCAACTTTATTAAGATCTTCTAGTCCCATTTCTTAGTTTTTTTCCTCTGTAATTTAAATCAATACCAACTTTATTAATATAAATGTAATACACTGAAATGAGCTGGTTAGCTTTAATCTTCGAACCAAGATGAGAGGGGGGCGGCGGCGGAGAGGAGAAACTTTAAGAAGGGCAACGGGGGACAGAGAGTTACAGTTTAAAACTTTAATAATGCTTAATGTTGATAAGTGCATTGAAATAAATTGAAGAGCACTTTTTATTTTGTTTATTTTTACCCTGACCTTCCCTATAACCTTTGATATAACTTCCAATTTTGATTATAAATAGCAATATTTTTTAGTCCTCTTATATAATTATAAAGAGGCTATTAACCAATCCCTTAGATGAAAGGATTTCAACCTAACATACGTATCTATGAATTAATTTATTTTTTTTACTAAGGAATAAGCTTTAAAAATTAGACCGTTATTAGGTTTTTTATTTTATATTTAGGATTAATCAAACACTATATTACATACTTCAAATACAACAGTATTAAGTGTATGATTTTGTCTAATTATAGAAGACAATATTTAGTTTGGGCCGCCATCAACAATAATTTCCAAACTATACATCGGCAAATTTTTGTATTATTTTGTGTAAAGGGGGGTGGGGGGGACGCCCCCAAGCATCCCCTCCAGTTCCTACGACCATGCACAATAAAATGATTCCTTAGATGAAAGGATTTCAACCTAACATACGTATCTATGAGATGGACATTTATTTTTTGTACTAAAGAATAAGCTTTAAAAAATTTGACCGTTATAGGTATTTCTATTTTATATTTAGGATTAATCAAACATTATATAACATACTTAAAATACATCAGTATTAAGTGTATTTTTTGTATAATTATAGAAGACAATATTTCAATTTGGGGCGCCATCAACAAACAATTTCCAATACTATATATTGGCAAATTTTTGTATTATTGTGTATAAGGGTGTGTGGGGAGTGACACCCCCCAAGCATCCCCTCCAGTTCCTACGACCATGCACAATAAAATTTTTCCCTTTTTTCCATAATCATTTCATAATAGTATTTAACTACATATATAAAACGGAAAAAGGGTTAACCAACAAAGTATCTCAGACAATATACCAGTAATACATAAAGCCGTACAAAGTTGGAAAACCCAAAATTTAAATTGGAATTACCAATTTTAAAGTTGGAAAACCCAAAATTAAAGTTGGAATTCCTACATTTAAATTGGAATTACCAAATTAAAGTTGAAAAAGCCAAGATTAAAGTTGGAAGTTGGCATTTCCAACTTTAAAGTTTGAATTACCATCTTTAAAATTGGAATAACCAATATTAAAGTTGGAATTTCCAACTTTAAATTTTAAAATTTACCAATTTTAAAAGATTAATTCAAACTTTGGAATTAAGTTAAAGTGGAATTACCAAGATTAAAGTTGGAATTACCAACTTTTAAGTTGGAATTACCAATTTTAAATTTGGGAAAAAGTAGGTTTAAAGTTGGAATTACCAATTTTAAAATTTGGGAATTACCACAGTAAAGTTGGAAAAACCCAAAAATTTAAAATTTTAATTACCCAGATTAAAGTTGGAATTACTAACTTTAAAGTTAAAATTTTCCCAAGATTAAAGTTGGAATTTCCAACTTTAAAGTTGGAATTACTTACCAACTTAAAAAAAAATATTGCGTGGCAATAATCGTTTCCGTATATTGGGATGTATTTTGAAAAGAAATCATGTAGAAACAAACAGTATTAAAGCTAAAAAGTCTATTTATCAATACAAAATTGGAGGAGAGTAAACCCGGACCCCCCCCCCCCCCCAAAAAAAAAATCAGAGGAAAATGTGATCTTCTTTTTTGTTACTTTTTTAATTCCTCGTATTGTGTAATGAAAATTTGGCAGAAAGTGCAATGTCTGTTATGTATTCCTAGAAATTCAATATTTAAGGGGTCCTGTATGGCAAGCCCTTTTACTTTTTATTCGTGAAATAAAAATTTTCAATCAATAAGAAAAACATTTCTTTAGCATATAGAGATTTTTTTTTACTTTGCGAGATATCTCTTTAAGCTAGAGATATATCTTTTTAAAGCAAGATAGAACCCCTTTTTAGCGAGAGAGATATTTCTTTTAGCGAGAAAGTATCTCTTCAACAAGGTTAAAAGAGGTAATCTTATCTTAGTTACAGAGATATCTCAGGTATACTTTTCTTAGTTACAGAGATATCTCTTTAGATTTTCAAAAAGAAATATCTTTCAAAGAAAAAGAGATATCTTTTTTAATGAAAGAGATATCTTTTATCCAGTACCCTTTAAAATGAAATAATTAATTCTTCCCTTTCAAACGAAAGCGAAACAGGAAGTAAAATCATTGGAATAATTTCGCTGTTGTAAGAAAAAAAGATTGTGTATGCAGTATATCCAGAATAATATACATGAATGTACTACGCAGACAAAAATGCTATAAATCCATTGTTTGAAACAACAAATAATAATAACAACTTTGTTGATAATAATGCTAAAAGTTTAATATCCAGGAAAAAGAAAGTAAGCATAAAATCTTAAATGCAATGGACCTAATTTTTTCAGCTTATGAAATAATTAACTATTACTAATTTGAAATCTCGACAACACTGAATTGCTTGTCATGTTTAGTAAAGCTTTCATGTAGAATATCATGAATATGTCAAATTTTCAAAATACTATAATGTATTTCCCTGAATAAAAAGCTTACTTCCGGTAAAGGGAGGTCATTAAAAACGCAATTTAAATAAAATAATGAAGAGGGATATCTCCTTGCAAAAAGTTTGAATAGACCATGATATGTGATAAGAATAGTACCAAAAAGACAAGATAAACTCCTATCTGGGGTCATTCAAAAAATTTTTGACTTTAGTATAACTTTTTTATTGAATGTCATATTATAACCAATTTTGATACTCATATTAATACTCATATTTGATAAATTAAAAAAAAATTAAATATTATGACGCAGAATAGATTTATCACACATGATTTTTTTTACACGCTGGAAACAATAAATAATATTCATGAGTGATAAACGTAATGGTAAATGTAGCATTTGTTTTGAAAAGTAAGACCTTTGAAATAAATCAATCTTGGTTTTATATACAAGTTTGTTTTTTTTTAAATAATGGAGCATTTTCATTTATATAGTTGTACGTGAATCTTCTAAAGTAATATTAAACATTTACATATACATGTATATAAATGTCTTAGAAGGTGCTTGGTGTTAAAATTACAAATAATTTAAATGCTTCTTAAAATTTTTACACTCCTTACTGATTGAATCTTTTACAGAGGAAATGAAACTGAAAATAAGAAAGCTTAACATTCTCGTAAAGTACCGGTTCACATCTTAAAGAAGGAGATAGATGCAAAGGATTTAAAGGAAAAATCCATCATTCATTCAAAACCCCCGGAGAACATTTCACAGAACCAGTTTTACAGGATCTTTACGGATTAGAAACCGATGATTACAGTAGGCTGGACATGTCCTTGGTATTTGTTTTGTTAAGAAACTTTTGTGTAAATATCAAACCACCAACGAGAGGCTGGGGCTATGAACCTCCAGAGGACGAAAAAACAGTTGGTGCTGATATTGAGAGGATACGTTTTATGTGGAATAGATACTGTGATAATAACTATGAATTTAAGTATTTAGATGGTGTGTTTGACAGGATGAAGAATAAATACGGAACTTTAGCTGTTCAGAATGATCTACTAGAAGGTTTTTTGGGGGTAGAAGAAAAAATACAGAGTGAGTAATAAAGAAAACTTTAAATTAAAATTTTTGGCCAAAAAATTTCGAATATTTTTGTCGCTCAATCTTTGTAGACGATACATTTTGAATTGCCTGCGTTGGTGAGAAAAATGCAGATTACTTGTAGTGTGATTGTGTATATTTTTGCCTAGGTATTAAGCTGAATCCAGACTGCTGTGTTGAGAAAGGCGTCGTGGTGACTGGAGGGATAAAGGCAGCATTTCAGCTTCTGGAAATGGGGAATGTCGTAATCTGTAAAGGAGCTATTGGATGTGGTAAAACGCATGCTCTAAAAGCAATCGAGAACAAATATATAGAGAAAGGATGGAAAGTAAGATGGATGGAGGAAAACTTACTTCCTCTAGAGAAAAATATGGAAGATGAAACAATTCTGATTTGTGACAATCTTTTTGGAAGTTTTGCTTGTAATACATTTCTCCCACGTAGAATATCAAGTTTTGAAAATTTATTGGAAAGTATGTGTGAAAAATCAAGGCATACTAAAGTTGCTGTTGGAATCCACCAACATGTATTTGATGAAATCATCAGAATTCATCATCTAAAACTCCTTCAAAATAAAAACATAACAGTTGATTTAGACAAACTAACAAAGTCAGAAATGCTGCTTATTTTGAAAGAGCAACAAAAAGAGGGTCACTGTAAAACAGATCCAAATTGTTGGTTTAAGTATGTTGACCTCACACTTGTGATTGATAAACTCAGAGAAAACCCGGGCATATTGGAAGCCCGTTTCTCAGTTTGATGTACTGCCATCATCATGATTTGTTTTCTGATGAAGCGTTCACCAGAGCCCCTCTTCAGTCATTAACACAACGTTTTCAGAAAATGGGAAATGGTTCAGTTGACTATTCCAGTCTTCTGTACTTGATGTGTGTTATAGAGCACAAACATGGGGATGTGTTACCCAACTGGGTAGGTACACTTGATGCATTTTTAACCAAAAAGGCTCTTCATAATGTTGCTAAACTGTCTGGATTTGTCAGAGTTGTCAACGGGCTTGAAACACTTCGTCATGAAGTCTTTACAAAAGCATTATTCAAAGCTGCTGCTTCTGTAGAAGAAGTTTTCTTACCAGTTGTTCAGCATTGTGAAATAGGAATTTTACTTCAACTGACAAGACCTGCTGAAAGTACATGTAGCTATGCCAACAGTGAATTTGATTACAGATTTGCTTATCCACAGAAAACCAAACATTCCATTAGAATCATTGGCAAATACTTAGTAAAAAGATTTGCAGATGACTTCAACAGAGACTGGAACAGTATGAATCACCCTCTAAAATCGCATCGTTTATTCAAAGAGAAATTTCAGTATTACGTTGAATGTAAATCGAATGTTCCAAAAGAAAAATAACAAAACTTGTAAATTAAGTCTCATTGGTTTTGATTAATGTTAGATAAGATCAGGATTGATTTAGTGATCAATATTCAGTTGGGGTGTATTTAGTGATCGGGATGTCCGTCCGTCCGTCTGTTATGCTTTGGGGTACCCATCTCTTATTCGCGTGTCATGTTATAAAACTGAATGATATTTAATTAGACTTTCACAAATTCTTTGTTACATGGTGCCGTTGTGTACCTTCTATTTTACTTTTTGATCAAAAACATATTTTGGGTTTCCCATAGCAAAACATTGATTCTACCTTTTTTCTATAATATTGAACGGTACGGATCTCTTATCCACATCTCCTCCTACACCACTGAATAAAATTTGATAATACACATGTATTTTCATATATTCTCTGAATCTCTGATGTTCTTGAGAAGAAGTTTTTTAAATGACTTTTCCTATATACTTCAATTTTGAATTTGGATTCTCCATTGCGGCCCCCAGCCCCCGGGGGTCATGGTTTTAACAATTTAGAGTCTATACTACCCCAAGATGCTTCAACATAAGTTTCAGTTTTTTGGCCCAGTGGTCTTTGGGAGGGAGATTTTAAAAGATTTTTTCTCATATATTTCAATGTAAAACTTGGATTCTCTATTGCGGCCCCGTCCTACCCCCGGGGATCATGGTTTGAAAAATTTAGAATCTACTCTACCCCAGGATGCTTCCACATAAGTTTCAGTTCTTCTGACCCAGTGGTTCTTCATCATGCAGAAGATTTTTTTACTGAATCCACCCTATTTTTGCTTTTTCTTGATTATCTCCCCATATGAGGAGACTTGGACCTTTATTTTAATAATTTAAATCCCCTTTACCCAAGGATGCTTTATACCAGGTTTGGTTAAAATTGGCCAAATGGTTCTTGAGAAGTTGAACATGTAAAAAGTTTACAGACAGACGGACGGCTAGACGGACGAACAACATATGATCAGAAAAGCTCACTTGAGTCTTCGGCTCAGGTGATCTAACAAAAGGGTCAGTGATTTGGAAATAACTATCGCGGTATGTAATTACTGTATTCTCCATATGTACAATGTGGAATATTTTTTATATACTCTGACTGTGTTTGAGCTCTTATTCGTCTGAGGACGTACACTATATAGCTTGAGGAAGTACCTTTTTTCAATTTTGAGATGAGGATTTCATTATCAACTCCTTTTTCTTGCATTTATTTAATATTCAAATGTCGTTTCAATTTATATACATGTACATTCGATCGTCGGTCCATTCGACTATTCGTTGACATCCCTAGAAACAACACTTGGCGACTAAGTTACATGAAGTTATATGGCATGACAATCTGAGAAAAGGCCTCGCCTCATACATCAAAACTGAACTTTAAAAAATCCAATGCATTATTTCGTACAGAAAAAAAATATGCAAGTACATGCAGAAATTGACAGAAAGGAATAATTATATAAAGTTTAGCAAAAGGTCCACAAGTAGGCTTGATTGCTCTACAGTAAGAATAGTTTACCAATTGTGAGCAAATGTACAATATAATATACTTAATATGACTTAATATGACGAACTACTACATTTATATATTCAAAAGTAGTTAAAAGATGGTGACACACAGTAATAATAATCATATACGAAAAAAATACAGTTCAAATGTACATATACCTACAGGCAATTATTCAGTTCATACAGTGACTGTGGGATGAAATTTGGAGACTGCTTTTTTATGATTATATAAATTTATATACAATGTACATCCTTACAGAATCATTGATGGGTCCTGAGTTCCAAAATAATGAGAGCTAGTACTTGGACCCCTGACAATGTGAGAATTCTACTTCGTGTATGTGCATATATAGTTGGAAAATTTTGTGTTTTAAAAGTTTGTGACTAAGTAAAGCTGTATAGGAATGCTTTGTTTTGATTTTATCAGCTTTGTTTTGTTTTGATATTTTGGATTATTTGAAACTTATACATATAGTCGTATAATCTGATTTTCATTCCACAGCCTTAGTTCTAAGAATTGAGCACTAAAAACGCAGTATTTACTCAAATATTCCTTTGTGACTTTGTTAATTTTCCTTACATGTATTACAATAAACAAGTCCTTGCAAGCATTCCAATTTACTATAAATGAATTTATTTTCTGCAACAACACTACCGGTAGTTGTACATAATTTGAAAGTTATTTATAATATGAATGATTATAACTTAAGATTAAAGTTTACATCCTCTAGCATTAGTCAAAGAGGTTTGTTTTGCATTTTAGCTGGTATACAGCGGGAGGATAATTTCCTTTTTCTTCAATTTCAATGCTTTTAAAAGTTAACTTTCACTCTCTGGTTTCCCTGGTATAACTTTTTCTACATCACTTTCCCCTGTCATGTCCTCAGAATCTACATATTGTTCCTGGTCCCCGTGGGAGGCCCCAAGGTCATCTTCATAGTACTCATCCTCAATATCCACCTCATCAGTACTCCTCACTACAACTGGATCTTCATCATCACTGATTGTCTCCTCAGTTTTATCTGTGGATTGTGTTACTGCCAAATAAAAATAGAAATCAGGAAGACTATGAAAATGTAAACCAAGGGCCCATCTTACAAAAGAACTTAAAGACGTACAACACACTGGGGGAGATAACTCTTGCGATTTCAATTGAACGTTTGACGTGACGTCAAATTTAACGTCAAAAATAAAGCGTCAATATGACGAGTAAAACGATCCCGATGTATATCAATCATAAAAGAAAAATGGGATAGGGCCTATGGGGCTTTGCTGTGATGATGAGTACCATCCTAAATCCATAAGTATTTATTTTTAATTAATTCGATCAAACTCCGTAAAAAGCAAGACATAAAATACCATTCCTTAATATTTTTTCATTTCATATACAATAAATTGTATTCTTGATCAAAGTGCAGCAATCTTTTTATTCTGAAAATTTTATTTTACATTGCCGAAATTCTCATTATATACAATTTGCTATTATAACATTCCGATTAATGGTCTTTATTATAATTTGTGCATTTATGATATAAATATTTTTTTTCTTCTTTAATTAGATAAAACAACAATAAACAAACAAAAAACTTTTTACAATGTAAAATCGATGTTGCTCTCAGACCCTTACTGATCAAAGAGGAACAACTCTGAAAATGTAGGATATGTTTGTTTTCCTCCCTTTATTCACGGTTTTCCGCATACACAGAATCAGATACATTTACAGCAAGACCTGATAAATCCCAGAATTGAATACAATAGACCTCACACAATGTAAGGAATTGTTTACTAGTACTGAAATTATCTGTATATCCTATTTCAGCAAATCGTTTGACTTTCTGTCACTGTCAACAATGTCGGTTCGCATTTCCTCGAATCAAAACAATAGTCAATACGTAGCCTATGAGATTTTTAAAAACATCAATGTGCCATTTGATATAAATTGAAATACATGAAGAGTTTAATGTTTGATATTTTGAAGTTAATCTGGACGAATACGGAATTTCCATTTTACCTTTAGAAGCAACGACATTGAAAGAATGCGTACAATATTGTGAGGGGTGTACATGTATGCAAATGTCGATGTATCCCCACGGCCACATACTGTCTCGTTTGAAATAATGACATGAAAGAAACTATAATTATTCCATTTATATCACAAGAGAGTTGAACACACATCTTTTTTTTGATAAATGAAATTAAAGAAATTAAATTAAAAATCAATATATTCAACATAACGTATCCAGGTTTCATGTTATATGGAATGCATAACGCATACATATATGGGCTAAACACTAAAATCCTTTTGTATTTTTTTTTCCTGATACATATAAAACCAGAAGTCAATATTTATATATATATATTCTGCATTCATGAATTTAAAAACTAATGCATACCTCCGGATTCAAATGACGAAATACTAGTATATTTGCACTGTAAACGACGTTTCGTCAAACGCGAATGGTCTGCAACGCAAAAAAGGAAGGGTTGGGGGTGGTAGGGGTATTCAAAAATTGCCTAAAAATCTACATTTAAATACGCTTTACATATGAGAACTTTTAAATATGTAAGTTAATATATTTTTGAAGCAAAAGCAATATTCCAATTTGATTTTTAAAAAATATGTATTTGTAGATTCATAGCAAAGTGATCGACCCCCGTCTGAAATGCGCGCGGGAACGTGATTTATTGAGAAAGGGGGAGGGGGTAATTTTCCGCTATTAAATCAAAACTGGTCGTACAAAAATTAAACAAAAAATTATGAACATTATTTTTACTACCAGCTACCTAAAGAAAGTTTTTTACCAAAATTAAATGACAGATTTTTTCACAAAAAAATTTTGAATTTGAAAAATACACAATTTTCAAGGCTTAGATAATTCATAGTTTTTCGGTTTAAGGTCTTTAAAAATTGTTTTGATAATATGTATTTCAAAAAGATGGCTATGTTTTTGTGTTAAATGGTTGAAGGAATAAGTCAATGAAATTTGACAGTCATATCTAACCTGGCTTTTTTGAAAATCAAGGTTTAAGTAGTTCATTGATTAAAAATTTTCTCTCCTTGTAAACGACTAAAGGGGGTAACTTTTGGAATTTCCTGTCCAAAAACCACTCGAACGATTTTGTCCAAAATGCGCATACATGCAGTAGATATAGTCATGTACTAAATATACAAAAATAACGAAAATTAAACGACAGGAATTTTTTGGGGTAGGTGTGTTGTACATCCTTAAGACTTGTCTTAGACCAAAAACTTAAGCTGATTGAAAAATTTTGCAATATTTATGATTCTGACCTGTAGAAAATTCATACCATAAAATAACATGTTTAATTCTTTTAAGTTTTAATAAAAGAATGAATTCGTTTTAAAAAATCAATGTAAAATAGCAAGTAATCAGCATAATTTCATTTTGGGGTCTTCATTGTAAGTTCCTTTGTAAAAACAAGCCCCTAGTTTACTTGCAATGTTTGTGAATCTTCAGGTCAAAAAAGGGTTTAACATATGAGTGCAGTGTTTTAAACCAGGGATTTACATACTGAACTTTATATACCATAGGCATGTTAAATAATTTAAAAAAATAAGTTTTTCAATGAATTGGTCAATGAAACTAACAAGAAATTTTTTACAAGAAAATACAGTGGTTTCTACATATATAGACCAGGCGACTTCATTCCAAATAAAATCATCGAGATAATAAAACTCAGGCTAATTACTGAGTTTACTTATATAAGAGTTTACCACATAAAGATCACTATGTCCAAGATAAAATACATCCATCTTTATAGTGAAACATCACTCTATAAAATGAGAACTGGATGATAATCTTAATCATTAAAATGTTTAATCCAATGATCAACACAGGACAAACCTGTTTCAGCTGAGGGAGTGGTGTCTGTGTCATTAAGGAATTCGTCCAGACCTTCAGTGTCTGAGTCTACAACAATGTCTCCCAAATCTGCCTTCTTCCCACTGTCAGAACTGGATACTGATAAACCTTAAATATACAAATCAACATTGATGAGGAATTTCCATTGATAAGCCTAAATTTGTCCATTTTCTTAGGGACATATTATACAAACTTTTGTCAAAAATCTTTAAAATAACAACTTAATTCATGTTCAGTGGAGTAAAATATGCAAGCAACTGCATGGAGTCTCAATTTTTCATTCAAAGTTTCACAATAATGGAATTTAAAGTCACGAAAAGTTGTCTAGATTAATAAGAATGGTAAGTTGCAGAATGGTAGAATTTGAACTTTATAGAAGTTTCCAATATTTTGAAAGTGTATTATTTGCATCATTTACAACCAAAATAAGCCTGAAAATATAAACCAATCATGGCATCCATTTTTTTTTCTTTTTTGCATCATACCGTAAATCTGGAAATTTTTACTGTAGATAAATTTTTAGCAAATTTGCGCGTGCATTGAATTCGCAAAAATATTTTTCTTAAAAATAAATCAACATGCGAAGAATTTTTTTCTGAGAACTCGTGTCTTTTTTTAACTCAGTGAATAGGTGTCGGTAAGCACTGGTCATTTTTAAAAGAAACCTGTTTACACTAGTCTACTATAACTACAAGTTAATTACCCGTGCGTAAATTGCCCTCATTATATGCAATATCGTCCGATGATTTGACAAGCACTGAGGCGGTATGCCCCTTTTTAATTATTTTAATCAATTAATTTGCCAATAAAGAGAGAACTGCCATTTTATCTAACCGTGTATCAACACGGGCGATAACTCAAACTCAGTGCATTTACTAGAAAGTTCTAAATGTAAACGCGGCGTGTAAATTTTAGGTGAGAAAAACCAAACGTTGAGAAAATTAGTTATATTTTTTCTTCATTTGGATTATACTTTAGGTTAAAAGGCATACACAACCTCTAAAATGTTTGTTATAATTGACTTAGAAATTATTTTCAGTGCAAATCCTTTTGTATTTTCATCAAAATTGTTTCGGAGCGATTTTGCAATATCTTGCCACGTTGTGAGTATATTGGTGGTATTCTAACTGGGCATATTACTTGAAACATAACCTGATATGAAAATCTTCAGTGATTTTTATTTTTAGCACCAGTGACAATTCGCAAAAATTTGAAGCGTAAAAATTAATCAACAGCTTTTTGACCCAAATTCGCAAAAATAAATCGACGCAAAAATTTCCAGATTTACGGTATGTTCTTATAGGGACAGACGATACAAACAAAAATATGGATGCCTGGATATTTTTTTACCTATTTGGTTGTAATTAATGTGACTTCCCCGAAATGAAATTTTAAAATTTGTAAATTTTCAATAATGTTCAAAATTCAACCTTTTGAATTATCCTTATTAACCTATGCAATTTTTTGTCACTT